ATGGTCGATATATTAAAAAATACACATAATATGTGTACACAAGTTTTCAAAATGATGTAACAGGCTGGGACTTTTCTTCTCATCGTCACTCGTTATGCAAAACGTTGCTCGTTAAGCGAGTCATTTTTCGTGCAATTCATTTAACTCGTTAACCGAGGTTCCACTATATTTAATTCATACTTAAGTTGTAAAAATTGATGATGTAATTAAATATTGAAATTAGTATATGAATATAAACTTTATTGATTGGTTCAATATGCAAAACTTTGGAATCAAATGTTTAAATGTATTTTTTCTGTGTCCTATATGTTAGATTTAATGAAAATTTATTGACTATTAGAAATGTGCAATTTATTGAGATAATATACTTTTTAATCGTTGCACGAGCATAATTTATTACGTAGCAGTCAAATAAGTGAAAATAGTTTGAAGGCAAATAGAAGTACTGGAAAGTTATGCAAATTCGAAATTCATATAAATTAATTGAAGCGGAGTGCGTCATAGCGATTGATACCAATTATCAAGTTAAACGTAATGGCATTACAACAAATTAATGAACCATTAGAACATTGCTGGAATTGGGAGTCAATACGTTAAGTTTGAAATGTGCATGATGCTTTTGAGATAAGTCAAAGAGTTATATTCTACTTTATGCAAATATTGGATTACATAGTAACTGTTGCATGATTATACAAGTATTTCCTGATTGGGAGTAACTTAAATAATAATATTTTCAAGTTTTCATAGCAAAAAATAAATTATCAACTTATATTCAGCGATAATTATTTAAAGATGATTGAATATCAATTCTTAATCAAAAGTGAAGGAAGCTAACGAATGAAACATTAGTAGACACACGTGTTTTAGTTATAAATCTATTTGACAACATGTTATGCCATGACCCAACGTCGTTTGAAATGTATCTTTAAAGTTTGATTCATGCCAACTACGCAGTACAATATTATTACATAACTTTAATTGCCATCTGATGTTTCAATTTCGTTGATCTTATTGAAAATTCAATATAATTATCAACAAATTACGGAAATATTTTGTAAACTTAGTCACAGTCAAAGTATTAATGTCAAATAATTATTTCTATGGAATTTGTTATAAATGTTTCCTCTTTAGCGGTGAATCATAAAAAAAAATTAATAGATGACGCGTCGTGAATCGTTTCTAAGAATGTAAATCACTCTTTGGGGTTTATTTTGTAAGAAATGTTAAGCCAATTATTAATATAATGATTCACTAAAATAAATGTACATTGAATATTTTATACAATAACTAGTAACCAGAACATAAGTTATGAAATTATATAGGGGTGCCAACATCGAATTGATGAAGAAACGTCATTGGACAACTCTAAAACGATTCATATCCAAGACTCAATCCAGTCCAACTGTACTGAGTTCTGGTCTTCGACTAAAGTTATCCGTATCACATATTGCATAACTTTCATTTAACTCAGATGAACGCCATCTAGCGTATAACAATTTAATCCAATAAAAAATTGTGATATAATAACTGTATTTTTTTTTATTTATACGAATATAAAACCCGAATCAACATTAAATACTCCGTTTAGAGAATTTGATTAAAAAAGTTTGAATCAAACGAGAAAATTAAAAATCGTTGATGACGGCATCATTTACTTTAAGAATTTGAAGAGTTAAAATACCTGATTTGAATTTTAAATTTAGTTTGAACTTATAATTTTGTAATTAACGTTCTTTCTTAATACTGCTATTCGAGACTACTTCATCTGGTACATGTGTAGTATACCAGTAATGGTTTGGAATCATTTTAAAATAAGAAGGAAACTTTTCATAAAACATTAAACAATGTTAGATAAAATGAAACAGTAAATGAGAAATTAACAATTTCTTTATATTTTTTTATATAATTGGGTAAATAAATAATATAAAAAATATCTTTTACAGATATGAAATGTGTATATGCATGTGTGTAGTAAGTAAATTAACGAGCACCCAGATTTTATTACTGTTAGGCACGCACTCGAGCATCCGAAAGAATCTCAAAAGGAAGAAGTTAACAGCTTATTACAAGAAGTTTGTGCTACACTCGGAGACAACCAGGAGCTGTTGCTGCTGCTGCATACGTCTACTTTATTTTAATAATCCACGATGGTCCATTGCATATCCAAAGACAAATCGATCGGAGATACAGCGTGGCGCGGTTTTTTTTCCAATTTGGACCACGGCTTTTTAACCCGTTCACTTTTAGCACGGATTTGCATACCGCAATCCAATAAACATTGGGTCTGCCTTGTAGTAAATGCACGGAAAAACCGATACACAAAATGTACGTTACACATAACGCATAAATCGAATTAATTTTCGACGCTTTATTTTCCATTTCTTTCCATTCCTTCATCATATTTATATTCCCCTCTTTATTTCTTTCTTTCCATTTCAGGCCTAGATTCTTTATTTTTTAGGTGCGGTTCGAAATTCTTAACTGGACACACACACACACACACCAACCGACACTCGCGTCCGCAGACGCACACACAAACGGTTTAGGAATATCTACACCACTTTATTCACGCAACGTTTATTTATGCCACAACTTACATACGAAATTTTAAACTATATTCAAACGAAAGAAGAGAAACATCATGAAGAAAAAACTAATGGACCTCTTGAATTATCTTTTCGCATTGCGTTCCATGCGTGTCCAGAGTTCAATTATAATGTTGAAATTTACCACTGGAATAAATAAATATGAGTTAGAGCGAGAAAGATAACAACGAGAAAAATAAAAAACGAATCTATGAAACATTGTCCACGGTAATAAATAAACACTTAATGGCTCTGTTTTGAATTGGTTTGAACGACAAGCAAGTAAATAAATAAATAAATAGACTTCAACTTCCTGATATAATACAAGTGCTTTAAATAATATCGATAACGGGCTTTCTGTTTCCGAGAACGACGTCTTACTCACTCGTATTGCTTCCACAGATTAACTCTCCACTTTTTTTTTTCCTTTTTGATCACGGTCTTTGCAATTGTACTTGCACGTTGAATCATTTAATTCTGTTGTAGATGCAGCGAATTTAAATTAACGCTATTCAAATAGCGCAGTCCTCGATGTTATTGTTTTGCTATTTGGTAATCACGTACGCAAGGACAATCATTCTTCTTTAAGTTACAAAAAAACAAGTGATTTCCAATGAAAATATGATTATTGAGTTCAAAGAATCAATTTACTTATTTTGTTGGTAGAACAAACAAAAAACTGTGTATTAACAATTTTGGGAAAGTTGGCTAGTTCCAAGAATTTCATATTTTAAATCTATATAGTTATGAATTAATAATTATAAAGGAATTCGTACAACTGCAATTATTAATCCAAAACAACTTTTAAACAAAGAATATCAATTTTAACAACAATTTAATAAACATGCAACAGCTGAAACAAATTTGTTAATTGTATTTTAAAAAGAAATCATCAATTATTTCTAATTAATAAATAATACTGGATATTCAAATTGTTGTCATTCTCATTATAATACTTAGTAAAGTGTGTTTATCATTGTTAATAAAATTTTGTACTGTTTGTAATCACTTAAAGTTACGTCGTAGTTAATTAATTTTAAACTAAACAACTATCAATGGTTATTATTGGTTTTATTGGTTTAGTTTCCAATAATCATGTAAACTTGCATACTACGTAGTATATACGACTCGAAGTACATAGTTTCAATAAAAATTTACAGCAAATATGCTCATAACTTTATATTATTGCAATATTGAAGTAATAGATAATAATTACATAAATATTATCAATTACTCGTGTATAGTTTGGGTAGGTAACAAGTTTTTCTTGATTCGTAGGCAATTTCCTATAGTTTCTTCTGAAATACTTCTTGGGTAATCTCATAGAAAATTACATATTTATTTACATATTTATTATATTTCTTTTTATTGATTTAGTCGCAAATATATGATGATTGCACATAAAGTACTCAAACATTAGATTTAGAATTTATTATGTAATTTTCAATACAAATTTGTTATATAATACACTTCTACTGAATAATCTAATTTTCTGTTTAATTAGTTTTGCTTTTATATTCATTAAACAACGCATGTAAGTAAATAACATAATTATTTAAAACATGTGGCTAATTATTTACATGAGAATTTATTTGTTGTCACATGTGTTTATGAAAATAATTTAATTGTAATTATTTATCCAAAGAAAAAAAAAACAGATTTTGCACGTAGATTACAAATCGAGAATCGTTCATTGTTATTAATTGAAGGAACGTGTCAACAGTTTTATATGAAAATAAATTAATAAACGTGTATCGGGGGAATTAGATCATCAACAAAAATATAAAATGCCATTCAAAAAAGGAAAGAAAGAAGAAAAAAAAAACACGTAGATTTAAATAAATTCTACGCTACCGAATCGTGCCTCATCTTCGAGATTTCAACAAGAAGAGAAGAAGAAAAAAAAAAAAAGAAAACGTCACCATAACCGTACAAGCTGAATATTAATATTAATAGGCGACTTTTACGACACATCCCAACGAAAGAAAGAAAGAAAAAAAAAATAAAATAACGGTATGTGATCACGAAAGGGATTGATAATTATTGTATGTTTGGGAAAGATGAAAATATTGATTCAATGTTGAGTGGCAATTTGTGAAATTCCGCAAATTCGTATGGCAAACAGAAGGTTTCGTGTGATTTTTAAGTGCGCCGCAGAGTGGATGCGATGTTTTGTTTTAACATTAAATTGGATAATTCGATTTTGCGATGTGGCCTTGGATTTTACATTTCTTGTTCTTCGTCCTTATTGCTATTATTTTTATTATTTTAATTGCGATTTCATCAATGCGTGTTGCGCAATTGATACGTGCGTGCTGGCTGTTTTAGCCTTTTTTTTCGCGAACAGAAGAGGGTGGTTTTTTGATAAGATTATGTTGTGGTTGTTGTTGTTGTTATTGTTGTTGTTGTTTTTACCTTAAGAGAAGCGGTCCGTGATTGTGGTTCGTTGGTGGTGGAGAATGGAGCTTGTCCGTCGGATAAGAACAACAACAGCACACCTCGTTCACTTTATAACAGAATCACACTACATTTCAAGAGGAATCCTGCAAGAATTTGCAGGGATCTGGTGGAAAAGCGGGTACGGGCCGACCACGCTGCGGTGGTCATATCACACAAGGGATCCCAAATAGTACCAAGAATATAAGAAATAACGGCGGACACACGTAAATTAGGAAATGCACCCACACGACACTTTTTATTAATTACGCGAGACAGATTATCGCTGGAAGTTCACTGCTGGACTGAGACTGCCTTCGTGTGTAGACTTTCTGTCGCTAACCAGCCAACATCAGAAGGAGATAACTTGACTACTTTTCATACGAAAACTATATCTCTCTATACTCGTTTTCTCATATATTCACCACGCTCATTCCGACATTACAGTGCTTGAGAAATATACCATTATGTATATATAATATACTCGTTATAAAACCTGATTTATTTCCAACGATTCCTTCCATATATACATTTTACCTCTCTATATTCACACACACACACACACGCACATGTATACACACGTACATGCACACTCACTCACACACACTTATTTTAAACGAGAAGAGAAGAAAAAAATAAAACGCGCGCGCGCTCCTCGCCATTTACCAAAATTATTTACATATTTTATTTATTCATTCGTTATCCAACCAACGACCAAGATTTCGACACGACATTACTTTCTACAGATTTTCCCCCCTCAAAAATTAACACAACCGCAAATAAAACAATCATAACAAATCACATTATTCTACACATTTCTTTTCTCTCCAACCCATTTACTAATTAACAATAATTAATTCAATTAAATATTACATTAAATAACGTTCAAACGTCTCAAAAACACACAATTTCTTAACAGAAAAACAACCCTACCTTATTATAAAAGATCAAACGTCTTTTCAAAACTTAAATCTGAAACATTGGTCGTAATATCAGCGTGGCATAATGACAAAGATTTGAAAATTATTATAGAATAAGTATTTTTAAATAAAGAACATTGGTTCCAATTATATTTCTCCTGTTTATACAAATATTCAAAATCAAACTTTAATCAAATGTAAAAGTGCAACAAAATAAAACATTTACATTCTATAAACACATACAAACTTTAAATTTTTGTTATTACTTTATTTTATATTAAAATAATAAAACATTGCAAAACCCTTATTCTATATGATAATAAACACTTGCCAGTAAGTAATTTTCTTGAATTATTTTGCAAAATATTACGAACGATCGAAACACTAATGATATTAGATATTCACTTACGATTTACGTAATATCTGTGTACATTGAGGTAAAGTAAACATTAATTTAAATTAATTATTTTGCAAGTAATTTTTAAACAATTATTTGTATATTTTTGCTAATTAAAAAGCGTTAAAAGTTTGCGGTTTGCAACCAATATCTTAATGTGAAAATAGAAAATTATACAACTTAAATGATTTTTTTTAAATGTGTATACTTATTTCTCGTATTGAAAGAAAGTTCAATTATTATTTCGCCTTATCCAAGTTTGACATTAAAATTTTGAGATTAAATGTGTAATAGTTTTATAATTTTACGCATGAATCTTAGCTAAAGTTGCAAGTAATAGGTAATAGTATTGTTTTCTTGAATATTTGTCATTCTGCTGACATTATTCCCATTGGTGGCCAACAATTATCTGTAGAAACTTCTAAAAACTCGAAGTTTGTAGAGGTTTCACAGGGTTTGGAGCAATTTTCTTATCGTGGTTACCTTTGCGAGGAAAGTCTGAATAACGAACATTTTAAGGTTGCTATGAATGGTGTAGGTGAGAGTACCGAGTAAAATATTATTAGTGTTAGATGGCAGCATAGTTTCTACACCCGTAGAGATAATACTTTTACAGCGTTGGAAAAACGGTTTCGCCGAACGGAACTCTTGCATTATTTACCTGGCGAAAACTTCATTCAAAAGTAATCTAATAAATTTACAAGCCCCCCCATAAACACCTGCTTCTTAGGAATGTTATATAAGAAGGATGTGCGTGTGTGTGTGTGTGCAGGGAAGGACTGGAAACAACCGGAAACGGTTTATTAGCTGCACCATTTAGCAACACTACCCGAAACGGATTCTCTTCAATGGACAAACTGTGAGCACACAAAGGGAACTCCACTTGAAATGCACAAAGACCCAAAACGATTTATTGCTCAAGCAAATACTGAAGAAGAAGAAGAAGAAAAAACTGTATAAGATACGAAAGAAAATAGTGGAACCGGTAAACATCAAGAACAACAGCTAATGAGAGAACAGGGAAGCAAACAAAGTGTTTTTCAAAAAAATAAATAAAAATAGTGATGAATTCAAAAATAAATTATGACGCGAGGAGAAACGAGAAATGTTATTGCAATTCACGTTCATCTGTCATCTGGCTCGAGAATGTTTGTGCAAAACTAACTAGCAACAAATTGGAAATGAAATCGATTATCGCGTGCAATAAATCTATTTATAAATGTTTTCGATTTTCATTCATTGATGTGTTTCCAATGCAAATGCTTTTAATGAGACACAATCGATTCCGCCTCCTTTTTGCGGTTTCTATTGATGTGCGACAATCGGAATGTTAGGAATGGAATAAATTTATCGAGCGCTCGGACGCCATAAAGACAAATAATACATTTGAATACATTGTTTTTTTTTTTCGTTGTCGTTATTCAAAGGACAAACAAAGATCAAATTGTCTGCTGCTCGACAATGCCGAACGTGTGAATGCAATTGTTCATTTGTTTTTAGAAATTTATCTTTATTTACAGCAGATACAACAAAAAGCAGTCAATATAAATTTATAAAACATTACCAATTATTGATAATTAAACATCATAGTATTTTTAATGCATCTCTTATTTTTATGGTATAGTCTTGCACAATATTTGTTTATGAATGCAGAAAAGATTTGCTTATAACTATTGGATAATTGTTTTTTTTTTCCGCACTATATAATAACATATTTATTATCATTACTTTCGAATCCCTTGTTTTAGCAAAACCATTTGGATTTAATCATATTTAATAATTGTTTTCAGTCGAAATATTCGAAGCAATCAATTTGTAGCTAATAATATCAGGTAATTCGCAATTAAGATAGAAGAAGTAAGAACTGCAACAAATCTGATTAGAAGATTAATCTGATTATATATAACAAGGAAACAATTCGAAATATGCTCTTAGTATCATATGAAAACTGGTAAATCAAAACCTTACCTTCAAAATTAAGAAGTTAAAATATTGAAAAAGTTTGAATTGATTAAAATAATTGCAGGATCAATGTTAAATAAATCTTAAATTTAAATACTACTATCAAATTGTTATATATGCAACCACATATACTTTACTTATTAAAGAAATAGAATTTCTGACTTTTGTTTATTTATATTTGAAGCTTTTTTGATTGGAATAATTATCATTTTTACTTGTAAAATTTATGAACAATTTCGTATATTGTTAAAAACTCATCAAAATAATAAATAAATCTATACAAAAAAAGCAATGTTTAATTTTCTTTATTGACAAGACATTCATGTTTCGTACAGATTCCGACACCAAACATTTGTTCAACAAAATTGTTCACATTTGACAGAAGAAACCGAAAGTGAGGAAACGAATTTCATAGAATATTTACAACTAAATTATATTACCCAAAATATTTGACTACGATTGGTTTCCATTTGAAAATAATGAAACAGTTTATGAAGGCACTTCACCAATTTAAATTCCGCATGGACAGATAATAGAAAATACAATTTATTTGAACCACTTTCTTTGCAAGAACATTTAATTAAGAAAAGCTAGTATAAAAAAAAAACGTAACAAATTAGATTCGTATATATATATTTTTCATTAGTTATCTTTAATGTAAAGGCCAAAAATATTTTGTTTCAGATCTCAGTATTCACATCAAATTATTGATATGCAAGTATAATATAGTTAAAAAAAAACTTAACAATTAAATGGAGTAATGTTTATAAAAGCCATTAACTTTTAATTTTACGAATATCGGTATCCATAAATACGAGACGATTTAATAACAAAATTTAATTTATCTTTTGAAGTATTAGAACTTATAGTATAAATAAAATAAATACAGATCTAAAAAATCATAAAATTAAGTTCAAACTTTTGAGCAATGTAAACATATATGTTATTGCTTCTCTAGTGGAAATGATAAGAAATACATACATATATTTTTGGCAGTCTATAGATAGATATACAGTAATTACGTTTACCTAAATAATTATATTATCAGATATATATTTACAAAATCTATTTTAGCATCTATACATACTTTAGTTTCCTTTTATATTACGTCATTTCTCTTGTTGAAAAGTTGCAAATCCAGTGCGGCTTTAAACGTTCGATTTTGATTGTCTTTATTGCTTCTTGTATACATTTGGAATTTACCATCTGGGATGTATTTCTTTGAAGTGCCATTGCTGATAGGTATTGTTTATATCGCAAGGCATTAAACTGAGGTGAGAGGTTTGCGGATGCAAAGCCATGCATTTCTTGTGGACCCTGTGTAGAAGCGTATGCGTACTTTCGTCGTATTGCCAGGGCCCATCTATCGTTCCCATTCTGCAGAAAGCCAATTTGATGCCTTGCGAATCGGCTTCAATGCATCGTTCTCCGACACCCAATTGACCTTTCGCATTTAACCTGATCAACTGATTATTGCCGAATCCGTGACAATGTTGTATGGCCATTAGAGACGGCGGAGCGTGACCCAAAGTATCCAAACACTTAACCACAGCTGCCGATCGCAACTCGCCGAAATGCAAGTTAGGCGGAAGTTCCGGATATTTATCCAATACGTCGTAGGCAACGTTATCCATGTACCATTGGAAACTTTTACACTGCAACTTGTTCTTCAGCTTCAATTGATCTGAGATATCGCCCATATCCAAGAACCTGGCCAACGGTTCTCTAGTGTAAAAATATTCCTTGTATTTGTCATCGAACCAAGTTTCGATAACGCGTTTATAGTTGATTGTGATCAACGGTCCTTTCTTCTTTTGAGCAAGTTTTCCGAAATTGTACGGCATGAAGCTCCTATAGACGTGGCCGACACGTGAGCAAGGTACCCACTCGATGCTGCCACCGCATTGCCAAATCTTGAAAGACAATTCAAAGTTTTCACCGCCCCAAACCAACAATCCTGCATCATAGGCTCCCAGATCCAAGAAATATTGCCGGTTGATAGCGAACAGACCACCAGCATGAGTCGGACTCTTGTACGGTTCGCTGTTATGCTTTCTGCGATTCAATTCCCTCTGCGGAACTTCGTTCTCTTTATACAACATTCCCCACTCGAAAATCCCACGGAAATGTCTATCGTCTCCGTAAACAGGTCGATATTCGAATGTTTTATGATCAATCCCATCGATAACGGGCACAGTCATTGTTTTACTATCTCGATAGATCGGCGCTAGAAGAGGTGGAAGCCAATTCTTATTGACTTCACAATGGGCATCCAAAAACACGATAACTTCTCCTGTCGCTTCTTTCGCGCCTCTGGATCGAGTCCTAATCAAACCTTCTCTCTGCACGTTCCTGATCAGACGTACTTTTCCATTGAACCTCTCGATGTACGTTTCCAATTCCCCTTTCAAATTCTCCTTGTCGCTGAAATCGTCCACGAGCAAGATTTCTTTCAGCATACTCTTTGGCGAACGGTTAATCACAGAATGGACGGTCCGAAGGAGAACCGACCAACCCTCGTTATGAAATACGATGATCACGCTGGTGGTCGGCAAGTTCAGTGGATAATCCCAATGTTTGCATTCGGGCAATCGCGTATCTAAAACAGATCTGTCTAAGCTAATTTCATCCGAGCAAGCCACGTTCATCCCGTATTCCGATTCAGATTGGTCGGCATCGTTTTGCTGCTCCTGACGAAGATGGTGCGGTTGACCCTCTTCACCTGGACCCGCACGTACGCTCTCATTTTGCACTTCCAGATTCCCTAAGCCATCAACCAGTTTCGGGGTTTCTCGGTGACTGATTCGAGCGTGCGCCGCGCTTGGAAGATCATTGAGAACAGTCCTCGACTTGGTGGTCAGTAAATATAGTATAGGCAGTAATATGAACAGGACGACGGCAATCCGGATGTATCGAGTTTTCCTGGCTAAAATCATCTTTCAACAATTCTTTGTTATCTAACGCATCACAGAACTGAAACAGAAAACATCAAATTAACTTAGTTCATTATTATACTATGTGCATTTAAACTACCTGATTGAATGATTAAACACTATTCTATCCTATAAGCACCTAATTTTTGCAATCAGTTTACAATTTCCTAGTTGTTTAATATTGCTTCAATATGCAATAAACACTTTTAATAATATTATTATTCACTGACATTAATAATGAAAATATTGATGCTATAAATTGTAGATTTTATTAATATCAATGGAATAAAGTACAATTCTGATTGTTAATGTAACAATACAATTGTAAAAACTATTAGAAATGCTAATATTTTCGCATAGTAAACGTGTCAATGCAAATGCCAAGGTGGCAGACTTACCTGTAGAAGAATTGGTTGAAATGTATTCGTCGTGTCACTGAATTAGATGCTGATTTCAATTGGATACGATTTTATTATGATTCTGGCTTGTATTTCGTGGGTGAAACTGTAATGTTTACGGAAGTACACCGGTAGTAATGAAAACTGGTGCAGTTTTGACACTTACATGTCAACAATCCGTTTGAAACACTAACATCACTGTACAGATGGAAATCCGAATGTTGGTTAGGAAAAAGTGACGGACATTTAACAGAATATGCCTAACCTATAACAATATGTTCGACTATTTGTACATAGATGGAAGCTTAGTTCTGTTGCCATTAATGATACAATATTATCACATACAGTTTTATTTATTTTTATATCTATTTATATTAATATTATTATTTATGTAATTATTTCTGTACAACTATAATTTTGTGATTATACGTAATTAATTACATTTTTTAAGATACCTTTATTATTGTATTATTTTATAAACGAAATTTGAAATGTTACAAACAATTTTCTTTATGATTAAGTTTTTTAAAAAATAAATTTTGCTTCTTTATCAAATCAAATTGGGTTGCATAACTATTGATATACTATTTGTAATATACGCAAAATAGATGGCACTGGATGCCACATGAAGGCAAAATATAAATATTGTCCGTGATACAATTAGAGAAACTATATTTGTATCATTAATATTACCTGTAAAGTTTGGTTTAGTAAATTGAGTTAATCAATTGGTTTCATTAAATTCATATGCGATAATCTAATGAACTTAGAACCTAAGTTCATAAGATTCTGAACAAACTACGTAGTTTCTTTGATTATTACTTAAAATATCCATAAAAAATGCAGCATGTATATATAATTTGTTAAATATATAATTAATTAGTGCAATTAAATAAATATATTTTAAGATATTTCTAGAAGAATGTAAATTTAATGTATGAAAAGGAAATATGTTTACTTATAATGGGTTTCCTTTTGGCCGTATCAAGAAGCTTCGTGGATGCGTTCATCGGGGACATGAAATTCTGCTCGGCGTTCCGTGCTGTGAACGCAACGGTGGCGGCGGCGGCAGTAAATGACTACGGGGATGGAATGAAAGAAATGAACAGATATAAAATGTTCAGGGGTTTCAGCCGTTTCTCAAGCCGTAGTTGGAGCCTTTTCCCCCGAGCAAAAACACATTCTAATCCTAGAAATTGGCATTCGCAATAACAACAGCTTTTCATCGCCTGTACTCTCATTTTTTCTCTCTCTCTTAATTTCGCACCACTAGCAAAGCGCTCGGCAACAATGGTCTTTGTTTAACTTCTCCTTTTTTTTTTAATAATCCTCGCTAAAAGTCGTTCCGAGTCTAAACGGCGATCGATAAATAATAATGCAAGAACAACAATAACGAAAAAGAGGGTGTGTGGGGGGAAAACAACCCTCGGGACAGGAAAAGAATTAGTGCGGAAGTGGTCGATGGGGAGCAGATAGTAAAGTTTTTATTGCGCGAAACTTTTACGACGTACCCACCCTAATTGATTCTCGATGAACTTTCCATTCGACGCTTTTATATTTTGTTGTCCTTCCTCATGGAGGTCGCAATCCACATCCTCATCGACTCACGTCGATCATAAATCTAATCATTCTGCGACCCATCCGTCTTTACATAAGGCGATTAGTGTTCGCCCGGATCGATAGGTCATTCCCGAATGGGATTAAACCATCCATCCGGAGCCGATTTTTTCCCCACGGATTTACATTTATATTCAATTTGTCACTGCTGTTTCCTTCCTCTTCCATTCTTCGCCTCCTTCGTGTGTAGTCTGGAAAACAATTTTATTTTATCTCATTTCGGATTTAGCCCACAGGCAATGTATTACGGGTCAACAAGTTTCATAAAAATCAAATGAATTTTACCATAATTTCACATTTCTCAATCATGTACTTGTTCACATCATTTTTACAATTGCTACATTCATTATGATATACTTTTCATTCTGCCTTTCATAAATTGATTAAAATATTAGTGAGTTTTGGATATTTTTTTAATAAAATAATTCATCTAGTATTATAGTATACACCTGACGATTATAATGTGATTTACTTTTTAATAAATTGTCATTTAAAGGATTCATTAAAATATAGTTTAGAAATTACGCAATTAGGGTAATAGTTAATTAAGGGCTGGTAAAAGTTTTCTAAAATTGCGTATATAAGACCCATGGCTCTTTTGTCCATCATTCATAATTTGCCTTTCGTCAAGTGAATAAGATATAAAATGGCAATCCTAAGAATTGTTGTGTTAATGGTAAGTAAACATTATTAATATTAATTGTAATAATAATTAAATTCGTATTCTCAACAGATGTTCCTTGGAAGTCTTTGCGAGTCTGCTAGGGTAAATGCAGATAATATCGATTACGAATCGTTGCTGTCTATGTTAGATGAGTACGAGGCTGAGAACAATGAGGTGTCATCTTCGTCATTTGATCAACATGAGAAGGAAGAGGAGCGTCGTGCTGGGGCAGACGTACAATTCAGCATTAGCAAGCCTTCAGTGGGGACCCTTTTAAACCCACAAGTTGAGGTCCTGAGCCTAGTCGAATCGTTCCTGCGACTCAAAGGGGAGATGGCTTCACGCATAAACGCTTTGATCAATGACAATTTCCATCTATTTAAGCGAGTCTACAATCTCTTCATGAACAAAATCTCTACGCTGCATTCCTTCACGTTGGCCGGCGTTCGTTGTCTCAGGAAAATCGTCGAATTCGCCGTAGGCGTCATCTCTTCTTGGGAAATCGCTAAACCATCTGTAGCTTTTGGATTTAATAACTATTAGCTTCAGTGAATCAATGTTCATAACCGGTGTTCATATTACATTAATAAAACAATAATAAAATATAATTTACTTTAAATTGTCTAATTAATTACATCAGTTCATTTGCAACTGTACATTTAATGACCTTGTAGTATCAAATCGTGCCATTGTACGCGTTTAGGAAGGCACTACACGTAATGCTTGTACTTATAATGAAGTTGTCTGCTTTAAAAACACCCTTGTTTGCGAAACGCCAGTCGCTTACGTAATTCAAATAAAAATATCAGAGGGTGAAAAAATTTGCAATTCTAACAAAATGAAAAGTGAAAATATAAGCTTTCTCCTAAGAAGAAAATACTGATAATATATTTGTAATTGCATATTGAATACTTTTATTTATAATATGCTGATTCGAAGGTAAATTACACTTCATTCATTTGGATTCTATTAATTCAAGCTATTGTTTTTTTCTATAAATTTACTCAGTAAGTTTGTAGTTTCTCGAAGACTAAAATATTCAGTGTGAGTGTCCACTGCAGTTATATAAAATATTATTGTGTATAGTTGGTTGCATGCCCAAGATTTGAATATTAATACGAGCTTTTTCTCTAATTATATAAGAATGAAATGATGTTTTCTGTCGTCAAATTGCAAGTTTCTACTTATATTATTTTAATCAGTGTTTTTGCATTACATTGAAAACAATTTTATCTATAATTGTAAGTTTTATGTAATGTAGACTTAGTACAAAGTTTGTTGATAATACAATACTATTATTAGTATTATTATGTTACTGTTTTGCGAGTTTGTTAATTTGCGTACATTTTATATAATATTTCGGAGTCACATTGAATGTAATGTCCATAATACAACAACATTTATCAACATTCAATACTTAGAATATAAATTATTTCAATACACTATATGTATGTGTTTTGAGGATCTAAGCTGGTTCCGTTCAGTCACTAAAGGGATGGTTTCTTATTATTATTATTATCTCCTTTTCCATACGAATGCTGAACCTTTTGTAAAATTTAAAAGCTTTCTCGCGCACGCCATCCACCAATATCCCCAGTCATATTCCGCCAACAATTCAAATGGAATTTATATCGTGGCGACACGAAAATTGCTTCGCAGCAATCCGTCATTGTCTAGTCGAGAATTTTATTCTGACGGCCCCGGTTTTGGGGAGGCTCTTTAGAGGATTTCCATTGAGTCCCGTGTATCGGCCCCTCGTCGATGCAAAAACGTGCGTGAAAGGCCACTCAGACGCAAGTATCAATAAGCAAACTTGGGGGGGAAGCGAAAGCAATATATCGGCGTTCTCCTTTGGTCCCACACGGTCGGTCGAATGTCACCCTCGACAGGAATGCAAAAAAGAAGAGGAAGAAATGCGACGACGATGGCAATGACTACAACGAGCAGAGAGAGGAGTATGAAAAGGACGAGTACAGCAAGGGAAATCGTTATTGGGGCAAATTGTAACTTCCCCAACGATTCCAATATCCAGATGTACCTAATATTGGTGAAATATATTTCGGTGCTTTCAACCAAGTGGGATGGATATTCAGTTACGAAATTCCATAAATTTTCATGTTACTTCGCGTTCTACTTTTTATACGTCTCCTCTTTCTGTTCATTACGATATTTTCCATTCGCCATAAATTCTCTGGATATTGGAATTTAAAAAATATTGCATTGAATTTCTTTTTTAATTTCGCTAAAAGTTCCAGGCTTTCAACCACAACAGATAGCTTTTACCAGACACCCTTTTTCGATATATTAAACTTATTCGTACTAGAAATATTAAAAATTGTAAATTTCTAATTAAATAATCATTTAAAATATACTAGAGAAGAGAAAATATTTCCCTTTGATATAAAAAGCAAATACATTTAGTAATAATATATAAAGTTATTTACTCTTAATTAACTATTTTAATGTGTTATTAGTTAATTAAGAGTAAATATTTATGATTTGTGTATTTGTGTCACTTCTTACAAGATAATACAATTTGTATGTTCGCAAATAGGACTGATATTAAAGTTATTTTTCTTATACTTAAATGCCCTGTTTTTGTAATAACAAACACAGTCTGCTACGTGTTTACCAGCATAATTTTTATTAAAAATCAGATAAAATTTTAGCGATTATCACTAATTCAATTACATTTATGTAAAATTATTATCTAAAAATAATTTAATTTAACAATACGAAGTCTTCTAAAGATTATTTTTATTACAGAATACAACATTACACTATTTACAAACTTAGTTAAATTTAGTTCAGAAGTAAAGCATTAGTAACTAGTGCAAAATCTATTTTCAAACAATTTACAAACTATTTCATGCATGAATTTTTCAACTCATATATTATATATAATTATAAATTATTATTCCATAATTTGATTAAAAACCATGAATCATGGTACGATAATTAAGTTTATTAATTAAATAACAAAGATTGTTTTGCAATGATTATTTAATTATATTCCGCTGCGTTGTGAATATATAAAATTGTTTACTTTATACTAATCAAATGTTCAATAGAAACGTCTAATTAGAATGCACTTAACAATTTACGTTCGAACTCGAAACCGCGCATACTAATTTCTTCCTCTGTTTAGCTGAAAACCAGTCGACCTTGAAACTTTCCAGTTGCACTAACGGGATACGAACTACCGATTAGATGAGCGTAGTGCTTTGCCCAAACAGCACATAGTAATTTTTTAATATTTTTTTTTGTTTGCTTTCGTTTAATATTAATGACATACCATCTTATCGCATCATATTATCATGAGTGAACAAAGGCTGACCTTTATTATATAAACTTATCGTTCGGAAAAGAATAGTCACACACGATTAGTGAGCGAGTAACGTTGTACCGAGATGGCCCCTATACTCTATGGAATTGACATAAGTCCACCTACGCGGAGTGTCTTATTGGCTTTAAAGGCGCTGGACATCAATTACGAATATAAACAAATCGACTTTTACAAAGGGGAGCACAGGACACCTGAATTTCTAAAGGTATTTGCATTTAAAATATTATGTAATCATTATATTATGCAACCCAACTAACATGTGTTGATAAATATTTTGTTTTTAGCTCAATCCTCAGCACACTATACCCACACTAGTTGACGATGATGCGGTTATTTGGGATAGCCACGCTATAATCGCGTATTTAGTGGAGAAGTATGGAAAAGATGGAAGTCTCTATCCAAAAGATTTGGTAAAGAGAGCGCAAATTGACCAGAGATTGCATTTTGATTCTGGAAATATTTTCCCGCTAGTAAGGAGAATCGTTGTAAGTGCTCCTACAACTATTACCAAAGCTTCAGCTTGTATATTAGTTATTTTTAGTTGGGGATTAAAGCGCACCAGAAGATAATCCCAGAATGTTTGGATTTGGCTAAAGAGCAGTACGATTTCTGCGAAAAGTTCTTGGAAGGTAACGACTGGATGTGCGGCAGTACCATGACTATAGCAGACATCAGCCTGTTTCCCACCATCACTTCTTTGGCGAAATTGGCGCCGTACGACGCATCATCATTGGTTAATCTTACCAACTGGATCAAACGTTGCGAAACTTTACCATTTGCCGCAGTCAACAAGAAAGGTTTAGATGATATCGATGTTCAATTGGTCAGGAAGTTATCGTCGAATAAGTGAACCATAAATATTTATGAACGCGTATCATTATTTATCATAAACTTGTTGTTACGCTGCGGAATTTAATAAAGAAAGTTAATTATAATTGATGTTATCGAGTCTGCGCTAAAAATCTCACAATATAAATAAGAGTGATCGAGTTTGCTGTAGTTTAGTGAAGCTTCTGAGATGGCTCCGAAATTGTATGGCTTCGATGCTAGTCCTCCGACGAGGGCTGTCCTACTGACCGTCAAAGCTTTAGGCATTTCAATCGATTATCACAAAATCGATTACATGGGTAACGAACATAAATCACCTGAATTCATTAAGGTAATTCATATATTGATTCCAAATTATTTTATAAATATATTGTAATAAATACATTTTATGTAATGATAATTGTACTTAATTTATAATAAACTTACTACTTATTTAACAAGATGAATCCTCAACATACGCTTCCAACCCTTACTGACGAAGGTTCCGTAATCTGGGATAGTCACGCAATTATGGTGTACCTAGTGGAGAAGTATGGTAAAGACGATGCGCTCTATCCAAAAGATCACGTTCAAAAAGCAGTGATCAATCAGCGATTGCATTTCGATTCCGGTTGTGTTTTTGCAACAATACGTCGAGCTATGGTAATTATAAAACCACTTCACGATTAATAAGATTTTAAGAATATTTCTTAGATGGATATGAGGAAGAGCAAAACAGTTCATCCGGACACCATAGAGCTGGCAGACGTACAGTATCAATTTTTGGACACGTTTTTGGATGGGATAGAATGGGCGGCAGGGAATGCATTGACTATCGCCGATTTAAGTTTAATCTCCTCGATTACTACACTCATCAAGATTGTTCCACACAATCCGTCGTACAAAAATCTTGTTTCTTGGATTGAACGTTGCGAGAAGCTGCCGTTCATGGATATTAACAGAACTGGATTGCACGATGTTGATGCGATTCTTACCAAAATATGCACATAATTGTATATATTGAAAATATATTTTTTAATCGATTAATGCAGAAATATAGGTGAAAAACCCTTTTGGTTACAGACTAATAAAGATTTTTATTATTATGTGGAAATAACATATGTTATTTATTTTCAATAGAAAACAAATAAAAAAGATTTGTTAATATATTTGTTTCTTGATTGATTTCCCTCAATATTATAGATAAAATTATGAAAGCACGCGCCATAATACTGAACAAACAGATAATTTATTTTGAGTTGAACTTCTCATGACCTTATAGTGCTTATGATAGTCTAAGTTTAAATAAGACTTTTGTCGCGCATTCAAATATTCAAGTTATTAACATATTTCAACAATATAATTGTTAATAATAACAATTATTAAATGTATATGTTAATTTTGCAAATTATAAAAAATAAATTCATATTGAAATTAACATGTAAATAGACGCAATTATGTAACTAAGTACATGATTTTGTTGCGTCCAAACTATTAAATAATTTTGGGATTGTATCGTTTACAGTTTAAATATGGTGATTGTGTCTAAAGTAAAAAGGAATTTTATGCAATAAACGATTACGGTTTGCGTCGACACAAAAATGAGAAATAATTTTTATTGCATTAACTATTTATATAAGAAAATAACTTAAAATTGATGTAAAATCTGTAGCAATGATTTTTGTTATTTTGTACCTATTTTATTTGTAATTATGTATGTATGTATATATTTTTTATGGCCACTAGATGAAACGTGTTGTTAATTTAAAAAAAATGTAAAAATATAAATTATTAATAGCACAAATTACTATTGTAATAAATATTCAAATATTCCAATTATAGTTGGATTATGATTATTTATCTTTATGAGATTTTCGATATTTCAAAATGAAGCTGACCGAAAGTTAACAATTCGTTTTCCAATATGTAAGAATATTAAGAAAGATGTGAGGATTGTGTTTATATTGTACGGTCGTACGATTGAGTATTATCACCTGTTGCACCTGCCTGCTAAATCCTGTTCAGCTGAAGATAAATATAGTCGGCTCTAAATCACAAACAATAAGTAACAATTTTTGCACGTGGCTTCAACTTAGTTATAATGTGAATACACCAATAGATTAATCACATATAAATCATCTCTGTTTTTGATATACAGAGGAACCTTAACGAGTTTAATCCGTTCCAAAATTTCTAGATTTTTACTCGTATAGTGAAAGATAATAGTGAAATACACATAATATGTGTTAGAACAAAAGTTTTAAAAATGATGCAGAAATGTTTCGAAAAGTTTCTCGTTAAGCGAGGTTCCACTGTATATATATATATATATTGATTAATAATACAATAAATTGTAATTTTCTATCATTTTTGTATGTAAAACTTAATCGTAATCAATGTCAACTTTTAATAATTGTAATGTTTTGTTGATACGGAAATGATAAGTAAATTACGCTTATATAATAGCAATGTTTAAGAAAATATACTTTGTTTTGAATGACACAAGTATATATTTTGTATTTCAAGCTATAGAGGAAACATTGAGTAAAAAAAGCATCGTCGACTTGAAATTGGATCAATTATTATTCCTACAGGAAAACGAGACAAACTATATGTTGCTATATTTAGATTTTATTTTCATTTTTGACTATAAATAAAACGTTGAAATTAAACTGAAAGACTTAGTTTAATGATTCACTTCAACTGTACTACAATAAATGTATTTGTATGTGCTATATTTATAGTTGTTGTGGACCGAATTTTTAGAAATATTTGTTTTAATTTTGGTATGTGCACAATGTACATTCTCTTTTTAATATGTTCGGCTATTTGCAAATGCAGTGTGTTTATGTGTTCTTTGCCTCCGTTTTGAGGGCACGAAATTTGCATGTGTTTATGTGCACATTGCATACATGCACAGTGGAGGCTTCGCTCTTAATGCACTTTGTTTTCATAGACCACGCAGCATTTGCGGGATATGATGGAACATAGCTAGTGCCCTTTCATCGCCACGAGCACAAAGTCCTTTCAGAGTTAAACAACATACCAGTTGTGAAAATTTCTCCTCGGCACCAATAGAATTTCGATACTAAAAAATTAACTATTTACAAAATGTGTTGCGGTATCGTGTTGATAAGCGATGTTTATAAATATTATCTCCTACTGATTTTATTTTGCGTCACTCTTTCTAATAAATCTTTGCTAATGATGTGAAGAAAACAGTACTAAAGTTCAAGTCGAAGAAGCATAAACTTTAAAATGAATAACGGTAATATTTCTGATTGTGTTTAGTTTTAATTGAAATGAACGTTCATGTTTTTTTTGTTGTTTATGCAAGACGCCTGCAACATAGTCTTGAGGAAGGGTAATTACATAAGTGGCCCATCGATTGACTACAAAGCCATAGAGGGTGGACTTGGAAAGTTTATGTTCGATCAATCAAAGAAATTCCCAAATAAAATATGCCAGGTATTCGATTTCTCACGTGTAAACTTGAAACACTAATATGTAAGACAATTAGATTTTTGCAGAGACCGGCGATTACGATACCTTCTCGACATTCATCGATAAATCAGTTAAAGTGGCCATCGAGATGCGTAAACGTGGCGTAACTAAGGGCGATATGTTAGTGCATTGTACACCGAATACCTTGGATAGCGCCGTTGCGTACACAGCTGGAATATTCCTTGGTGCAATTTCATCATCGTTGGATCCCACTTTACCAGTTAGAGATTGCGTTCACCTCGTAAATCTCATTGAACCGAAGATGGTATTTCTCCACGAAAACTCTGTAGAACTAATGGAAAATACTTTATCTTCGTTAGAAGGCACGAGCAAGCCCAGTGTGATAGTATTTGGTAATTCGGAAAAGTACGATACTTTCAAGGAATTCCTAAACGATTCTGAGGATGCGGAAAATTTTAAACCAATTGATGTTACGGACTGCAATGAAACAATCTTGATATTGTTCAGCAGCGGTACTACTGGCTTACCAAAAGGCATTTGCTTAAGTCACAATTCTTTATACACTTCAGCTATGAACTACGAGTAAGTTCACTAAAACTCAACTTAAATTTTACTAATAGTTTCTTATTGCAGTTGTTACATTAACGACACACGAGTCATGATTCACTTCACAACTTTCTATTGGATATCCGCATTGATGATATTCTTCCTTCAATTCAAGAGAGGTGATACTAGGATCTTAAGCACTGGTTTCGAAGCTGAAACTGGCCTACGTTACATAGAGCATTACAAAGTAAATATCATATTTACTCTAAACTATATCACATTGAAAATTATTCATTTCAGATTACCCACGCTTTTATGGCCAATTCTTACATGCACAAAATCATCAGCTACAAATTCTTACACGAGTACGATTTAACGTCGTTGACGAATTTGGGTCTTGGCGGTGGGCCCATCGGTAAAGAACTTATGATGATCTTCAGGAAACTGTTGCCTGGATGCTACTGTAATTCGATTTATGGAATGACGGAAATCGGTGGTTGCATCTCTTTTTATTGTCCTCAAGAAAGCGAGTTGTCCAATCAAAATCCGGATTCTTGCGGTCGTCCCGTCAAGGGAATTACCATTAAGGTAATTTAGATTTATCAATTTTAAATCAAATAGTAAACAACTAATTTTCTACTTTCAGTTAGATACATTTATGTGAATCAAAAGATCGATAACTTATGCATTTTATATCAGCTGTTAATTTGTTTTTTTTAGGTCTGCGATACAGAAACTGGAAAGCTGCTAACAGCGAACAAATCTGGAGAGATTCGGGTCAAATATCCGCACATATTGAACGGCTACCATAAGCAGGATCATAGCGATATTTTCGACGAGGAGGGATTCATTAAGACCGGAGATATCGGACATTACGATGAAACTTGCAGCCTTTACGTTTACGATCGCCTGAAGGACATGTTCAAGTACCAAAGTTGGCATATCGTGCCTGCATCTGTCGAGAACGTGATCAGGGAACATCCTGAAGTTGCGGAGGTGGTGGTCTTCGGAATTCCGCATGAAATTGATGGCGACCATCCTGCTGCCGCAATCACTCTGATCAAAGATGCTAAGGTGACTGCTCCAGAACTCGATGAGTTTGTAACGGAGAGAGTTCACGAAAGGCAAAGGTTGCGTGCCGGCATTTTCATAGTCGACCATATCCCGAAGACACCGACCGGTAAAATGTTGAGGAGGAAAATTCGGGAACAAATTTTAGAGAAAATTAAGAAATAAATGTGTTGTTTCTGTATAATAATAGATTATAGACGTGTAGAAGAGTTTTTATAGGTATGATTGAATGAATATAAATACAGAAATTATATTTGTACAAAGTACAAATGCGGAATTTCTGTACGAGGATGTGTTTATCTGTGACTAAATGTGCTCACTTTATAATCAAATCCCCAGGCTTTGGGTCAATATATCATCAGGATTTTCTCAACGTGTGACAATAAATTTAAGGAACAACAGAAAATGTATTTATTTTTCTATGCATTTTTGAATTTAGTCCAGTAAGCTTTAAAATCTTGGGTTCCTTTCTTATTAATTTCGTAGTACGGTAAATCCTCGCACCTCTTCATCCAACCCCAAAGATTTTTATACTTAGCATCGACTGGAACGATCGTTGCCATCGACGTTAAACTGGAGATTAAACTGAAATCAGCGACGGTCAAGTCATCACCGACCATCCATTTATGACCATCCACGAACGCATCCAGAAAAGCGTACTGTTCATTCACCAAGTCGACGCAATGAGGATCCACGCATTTTGCACCCAATTTAAAACCAATCTGTAATAATTATATTTGAAGATTCGAATCATTGTTACGTTTGCGGAGACTCGATTGATGTTGTAATCGCATCACGTATAAAGCACTTACAACAATCCGCCGCAACAGGGAAAACATGTTTCCGCTCTCGAAATGCAGTCTTTGATCTACGGCTGCCCTTTTGATTAGGTCTTTCGGGTAAAGTGAATCGTCCTTTCCATATTTATCGACCAGGTACGTCATGATGGCGTGGCTGTCCCAAATTACGGATCCGTCGTCTTCAACTAATGTCGGGATTGTGTGTTGTGGATTCATCTGCAATAGACAGTGTTTATTCACTTTTAACATGAAAAACAACAGTTTTAAGAACGAAACCATTACTCGAAACAATTCTTCTTCACATATATTTCGGTATATCCTTAATGAAAATCTATCGTTATATTTTCTTGTTAGATTTGCAACAAAATGGTGATGATTACAACCAATTGCTTCATTCATTCATTAATAGATTCAATTGCATGTGAATATACTAATACTTTCAAAGAATAAATCAAATATTTTGATTCTTTGGATCAATGTGATTTATAGAACTTAGTTTTGCAATGATAACATATTTATTATTTATTACAAGATTACAAGAAATTATTAAGTATTTTAAAAACTATGATCATTATAAATTGATATAAACAACTATAATAATAACATTTAATTACTGACAGTGACTATCAGCGCTCTTAACTTATTTATTAGTTTGGAGTTTATCGCAAGAAAAAAATCATAAAATAATATTTATTAATCATATAAGATAAGATAATAAACCTTCAAAAAGAAATATATGCTTATGTACATATGAGATTCTATTTTTCTAAATGATTACCATCAATAAAGGCGTGTTTTGTAACTGAATAGTTAGGAACTTTTCCCTTTTAACTGGTCTAACTGATATATTTTTTAATTTATATATGTTTATTTCTCTTATATGAAATGATTGTAATAAATATTATTAATATAAGATGAGCTACAAATATTTAATTATAACTGTTATAATACCTTGATAAATTCTGGCTTAACGTGATCGCCATTCATTAAGTCAAGATGAACATGATCCAACTTTATACCCAGTGCCTTTTCGGTAAGTACGACTCCTCTTGCAGGAGGACTTAAGTCGGTAGTGTAAAGCTTCGGAGCCATTTCAATCGGAGCCGGATCTGAACTGAGTCGAACGTACAAGTCATGTGTTTATATATAAGGTCACTTTATTTACCAACTGATTATACAAATATCCAACATAAAACCAGCTGCGTGCGTGTACGAAATAAAAAAAAAAGTCTTAGTCATTGTTGTTCTTCGTGTAGTTTATGTATTAATTATTGTTATTACACTAGTTAATAGACTTGCATAATAGAGTTTTTTTTTCTTTATAATAAATAGTTATCTGTGTAGATAATTGAACTTAATCATCTAAATATAACACAAACAAACAACCAAATTATAATCATTTTTCCTAGCAAATATAATAGATAAAAAAAAATCAATTGATGGTGATTTTCTCAATTAAACTATTCCAGAATTGCGTCGCAATGTGTTCATTGTATCAAGATAAGACGATCTGCATGAACCGCTTGAACTCCTCCAAGCCGTTTTTATTAATATCGCTGTAACTGAGCTCGTCGAATTTCTGCAGCCAAGAGGTGATGTTTCCGTAGCCGTCGCCCATCGGCACCAACGCATCCAGCGCTGTAATCGAAGGGATCAAACTGAAATCCGCGATCGTAATAGAGTCACCGCAAACCCAATCTTTATCGATCAGAAAGTCATCCAGAAATTTGTAATGGCGATGCGCCAGGGCTTTGCAAGTCTCGTCGGCGGACAGCGAAGATTTATCCAGCATAGCCTCCTGCGAAATGAAAATTTAAGCCGTGGGATTTGTTCTGTAGAAAATCATTTACCACGATTCGCCTGATTAGGGTGAACACGCATCCGGAATCGAAATGCAGTCGCTGGTCGACCAGCGATCTTTCTGCTAGATCCTTGGGATACAGCGATTCCTGATCGGAACCGTACTTTTCCACCAGGTACGACATAATCGCATGACTGTCCCATATTACCACGTCGTCATCTATCAACGTTGGGATCGTGTGTTGAGGGTTTATCTAGAAAAACTCCAGATTAGATCTCTTTATCAAATCAAATTTCTAGTATATTAAATTATAGAAAGTATTTGATTTTTCATAACTTACGCAATTTGTAATAATAGCACAAATATAACAAAATTTTGCGTTACATTTTTGACAATAAAATTGTTCAGTTGGTAATAAACTTCAACTCCAATGCTGTGTTAAGACTTACCTTAACTTTGAATATAATATTGTATATAATTCTAGACAATTGTTTGCAATTATCTAATCGTGTATAACTTTATGATAAACTTAAACTATTTAAGATCTTAAACAGAATACATTTTTTGATACTAGTAAAAGAAAATGTAATATTTGATAGTAATATATTGATACAAACCTCAGTTAATTCAGGTTTCATTTGCTCTCTTTGCAAGAGGTTCGTCTCGATATGCTCAATCTGCAAGCCCAAAGCCTGTTCGCAAATGAGCACCGACCGACACGGTGGACTCAATACAGTCGTGTACAACTTCAAAACCATTTTTCTTCTGTTCAACGAAGGAGAACTGACCAACAGTTTTATAGTGAAGATGCTATAGTTTATTCATAGGTTATTACAAAGCAGTTCACAATAATGAGATTATTAGGGTTCGTTCATAATTAATACAGGATTCTTAAACACCTGATCCACATCAGCACGTATTTATGGAAGTTCACGTCTGATCCGTTACACACAATCGCACCTGAATTATTTATTTTCAAAACGGGGCCATTCATTAAACTGCAATCAAATATTAATTAATTACAACGCAATTCGTTTTGATTCATTATGATTTCATTCGGGATATTAAACATACGAGTTAAGCCATTATACATGCTTTGCATTGTGCAGACTCACATTTATTACCTGTGTATAAATATTTATCAGTTATTATCTTCCAAATTACTCATAGAGATATAAATACTGACAAATTATGATGTCATACTCGAAACTAAGAGAAATATTGTAATTATTAGCAATGCAATTTCTTAATTAATTATCGAATAAGACAATTCAACATGTACATAATACATTGAATCAGTTTGCATAATGAAATGGAGAAGTTGTCGAAGAAATAGTAACTTGAATATTGTCAAAATAATATTTGAAATTTATAAAAAAAAACACATAAATTTAATGCGTATTACTGTATAATTGCAATCAATATTTATATATTTCTTTCCACTCGTATTTTTCAACATTAAAGGAATGATAAATAAGAAAATGCTATAAGTCAGCGGTCGGAGAACTTTTTTTAACCATTACCCCAAAATATTATAGCGTAAGTCGATATTACCGCCCCCATTCTGAATAGAAAACAATC